ATTTTGCCACGAAATATGCAAATTTTGCATCAGGTAATGTAAGGAGAAGCGCCCATCTTACTGCACAATCCGACAACCGATATCTACCTCTGAGCCATACCATGAGTCTTACGTCCGCTTCTGCACGTAATAACCCTTTTTCTGTTCCCGGATGAAATTACTGAGTTTTAGGATTCATTTAGGTCGGCAGCTTAAACGTGGAGTAACTTCTTGAAGCAATAAATCGCGAGATCAGTAAGAATAAAGTGCCCGGATAAAACTGCGTGCACGTAAGTCAAAAATTAAGAAACTCATGATGTATCAGGAAATTTAATAAAAAAAATTAATCAAGTTGTAATGCAATTATTAAAAATAACATTTTTGTTGGCATTGACCAAACGAATTATCTCTTTACGAAAGATTACAAATAATAAAATGAATTCCTTCGGTTCCGACTAAAGGAAAACGAAAGGAGACGGTTTCATGCTCGTATCTAAGTCGAAGAGCACTTTTTAACAAGCGCCATGCATAACGCCTGAATACGACTATTCGAGCTCAGAGGATGTGCGTGTTGCATGCTTACACAGCTGAAGGCGTTTTCGTCTCTCTCGAGCTCAATCCTCCAACCTTCTACGGTGCGACTTGCAAGTTGGACGTCTCCCCGCAAACGGAGTCCATCTACGCAGTTTCTGTACAGAATACTCCTGTTTTTTGCGTGGTATCAGAAAAAGACGAGTTGAATTTTTAATCAGAAATGCCCCAAAGTCTCCTGCAGGCCGATTTTTGGAATTATTAAACAAAGCCATAGGCAAAGAAGACAAAGAGGACCATGAGGAAATGGAGCAGTATTATTTGCTGAAGCGGGTGGTTGTTTTAGACTAAGGGAGGGAATGATGAACCAATTATGGTCTCTCGTTGGTTGCCGTTATATAGCCTATCGCACTTGCCTATTGACAATAGTAGATGCGTTTTATTAATAAATGCAAAATTTAAAAATACTATTCAATTTTCGCACCCTCCTTATTCAACTCCCTATGTCAATTGAAACGACCCGCTTTCACCGAATGGATTGCCCAATTTTCTCTTTGTCATCTTAGCGTTTTCCTCTGTCTACCAATTTAAATAATCAGCCAACAGATGAAAAATTTACCTACACAGAAAACAAGTATCACAATTCCAACTATACTCCTGGCTGATTTTGGTGCCATAGATGAGAGTAGTTGCACCAGTCAGAGATACGGTTGAGTCAAAGTGTTGAAAGTGTGGTTGGATCAACCATACGTCTGACTAGTGAAACTATTCTTATATCTGGCGCCAAAATCAGCCAGGGATATCGACGGTGTAAGTCGGCAACCACATAACTCGGTTTGCGACGTCGCGTCGCAGACTTCCTGTCATATGTTATTTTTTAAACGGAAAATTACTCAACGGCAATTCTTTAAAATTTCCGTGATTTTTCTTCTCTGTGTGAAGAAAATTCTGCATAAACTTCAAGGAATGATGTCAATTTGTTCTCTTTTGAAGAATTAACAAAGAGGCGAAGATTTTCAGACACCGCAAACGAGTTATGTGATTGCAGACATACACCGTCGATACAATTGGAGTTATGGTGCTTTTGGGTGTGGTGAATGTAAACTGGTTGCGTTTTTTCGTCTGGAAAACGACGTGTTTCTGTCCGTTTGGCAGCGTCGCCTTGAAGAATCGTTCATGTCGGCATTTTTGCCAGCCAGATGAGGATGAGATGAGGACGAGGGCCTTGGAAGTGCTTTTGAACACGTTCCGCGGGCCGCGCCGCCCCCGCCGGAGCCAGTGCCTACTTGTGTGCGCCGCCCCCGCCGGACTGACATGCAGGCGAACAATTCAATTAAAATTTCGATTGCCCAGTCAAGCGCACCCTCGAATAACCCACGGTAGGTGCCATAAATTGTGCAATCAACGACCCAGTTTTCACATTTTTTTCGCCACTCTCCATGTGTCGGTCAAGGCTGCCGCCGTGAGGGAAAACGCCTTACTTACAAACATGTGAATATTACAAAATTCCTTCTGCTGGAGCATTTTTTAGGGATGATGATGGAAATAAGGCTAAAAAACAAGGAAAGTACACTTAATTAAAGAATGAATTCGCTAAAAATTCAAAAACTCAAACTTTCCTTACTTAATTATTTGTCCGGACGACGTTTCGGTGGGTCCGCTGCCCTCCCTCTTCAGCGGTAATAGTGCAACGTCGTCCGGACAAATAATTAAGTAAGGAAAGTTTGAGATTTTAAATTTTTGGCGATTTTATTCTTTATTTTTGAGAGAGTTACCTACTCAAATTTTAATTTTTTGTAATTTGCAGTATCAAAAATTCTTGAGGTGCTGATACGTTATCGGGGCCCCTCCTTTCGAGTGGGGCCCCTCTATAACTGAGCAAAAGTCTTCCTTTATGTGGGTATTTCAAGCTCTGGGGACCCTTACACGCAGGCACGTCTCCTGCCGGGGCCCCGCCCCCTGAGCCACCCGTCCAAATGTCTAGGGTGCTAAAGCTAGACCCCTAGCCAGACTGCCCCGGATAATTTGGTACAGAACGTATTTTCCATCAGTACTTATTTGACTCCAAAAGTTAAGTCAGAAGCTAAAACACCAAAACGATATAACTGAAGGTGACACTCAATGCGCTATAGTGTCGATTGAATTAAGTAGTTTCAGTCTGAGTATGGATGACATCATCCTGGCTAGTTGTTCCAGTATTAGACGAGCTATTTGGGTACACTTCCAGATTTACGTGAACACCCAGGATTTTTCATAAGTTGTACCTGTCGTACCTGTCCGAAGAATTTGCAGTCTTTTTTTTCCAAAATCCCGGTTGTAAATAGACGACTCTCGTTTCGACGAAATTCGTCCAATATTGAACAAATGAGATCGCGTGCCACGGAAACTGAGAGAACTCTCATTCGTCTGATATTGTAAGGTTTTACCTTTGTCTGAGTCATGCGGAGCGTTTTCTGTATGATCTCATTCAACTCCTGTCGGAATTCAGAGGAGCAAATTTTTCAGGTGGGGAGCTAAAATATTACTAACTCCACTTCTCAGTCCTCTCTCATGGATTCACGGTGATGGATTCATCCCTTAGGAATATTGTTAATCCATAAAGTGTATATTCCTTGGTTGGAAAGCAATAAAGTTATTTGGATGCCGTCTCTGGAGTCAGTCAAAATTGATAACGAACTTGACAAGAAAAGATAAAACAAGGAGGAACTAGAGGTACAGGGTCGCTCATAACGTGAAGTTCCTGTGTGCTTCAAAAATTCCGAATGATGAGGAAATGTTCAAGTATACTAATAACTTCACAAAATGTGCATCGGAACATTTTGAGCAAGACACTAACTTGACACACATTTTTTGTTCCTGCGAATTACATTTCTCCCCGATAACGTACCCGGAGCCGGTAACTCTTTTACGTTATTTAGAGCACGTAACGCTATATCATTAACAGTTAGGTGACCAGATCGCTCGTTCCGTTCTACAAATTGCAGGAAAACCAATTTATCGAACAAGTTTCTCAATTTTTCAGACTTTGACCTTAATGTAACGCTGACTTTGTTATTTCTCTCAGAAGCGCATTTGTTGATACTTGCGCGGGCCCCAATTTTGATTCAGCTAAACTTATGCAAATCATCTTACACACGCTCAACTTACGGAGATGGAAAAGAGAGGCTAGTCACTGGTCTATATCCATGGTTTTTTGGGCAATCCTATTTTACAAAGACTAGGTTGTTGCGCCTCCTGACTGCTTCGCAGTCCACCTTCCGGCCGGAGTGTTTCGCGCCTCAGACATTATGCGTTACGAGTTACTCTTAAGATTGTATACTACACAGAAAGATTTGGAGATGATGGAAGTCTTTTTCGGCTTCACAAACGGTAACTCAACAAAGGGCACACTTGTGTCCATTGACACGGAAAAAAATGGATTGCTGATTTACCCATTAAATTTTTAAAAAAATATGTCAGACATGTTTGAAATGTACATTTCACTATTGTAGAAAGCTACTTCTACCACCGGGGCGGTCAAATTAGCATTTATGTAATGTAAAATCTACATTGAAACATGTCGAACACTTTTTATAACTACAAAATTATTAAATCAGCAATATCATTTTTCTCCATGTAGTGGCATTTGCTTTATGACACATCGTCGGCGTAAGTATGCAATCACATATCTTGTTTGCGGAGTCTGAAAATCTCCGCCCCTATGTTATTTGTTTAAAGGAGAACACATTGACATCATTTCTTGAAGTTTATGCCGAATTTTCTTCGCACAGGGAAGAAAAATCACGGCAGCTTTAAAGAATTGCCGCTGAGTACTTTTCCGTTTGAAAAAGAAAGTATGACAGGAAGTCTGTGTCGTCGCAAACCGAGTTATGCAATTGCCGACTTACACCGTCAATTTTCTCCTTTGATACATTATTTTTTATTTCATGATTTTTTTTTTCATCAATTTATATGAGAATAATCCATGTAGATTGCAAACATTTCAAAACCATGAGTTGAAAAACGCTGACTCTGCCAGTTTAAATATTAGAGCCAAACAGAGCGAAGCGGCGCGGCGCGGCGTGCTGCCAGCACGAAAGGCTCACTGGCGCCTACAAACCTAAGTGGACACTTCTTGCATTGCGCAATGTTTGAAGTATCCACTTAGGTTTGTAGGCGCTTTTCGCGCTGGCCGCCCGCTCGCCGTGCCGCGGCGTGGCACCTGTAACTATTTCATAACAGATGTGTTACACAGTATGATACGAAATTGAAGGCGCTCCAACATATTAAGAATGACAGGCATCCTTTAAATCATGGCAGCTTTAAAGAATTGCCGTTGAGTGGTTTTCTGTTTAAAAAATGAAGAATGACAGGAAGTCTGCTACGTCGCAAACCGAGTTATGTGATTGCCGACTTACACCGTCGATATGACATGAGCTCATAAATTTAAGGAAATCTGCAAAAATAAATAAATCATGATTGATGTTGGTGTTTATTTTTCTGTGTTTCAGGGGATTCGTCGGCCTCAAGCCCGGAGAGCGATGCGGGGGAGCGCGGGGCGCGGACGGAGCCCGGGACACCGCTCCTGCACAAAAACAACACGACCCCGCACCCACCCCCGCCGCCGACCGCACTCTTCGCGTCCTCGTCCAGCACGACGCACTCCCCGCCGCCGACGTCGGCACCGACCCCCAGGAACACCGCGTCCGCAGCGCCAACGCCCGCCAAATCACCGTCGTCCGCCACTCCTCCCCCCTCCGCGAGCCGCAAAAGCCAAGCCCCCCTGCCTTCAACCACCTCTCCCTCGAATTTTTCACACCCGACTTTTTCTACTTTCAACGAATCTAGACTAGAGAGCACCCCGCTAGAAACGACGTCCGCGCTTTATTTTGATAAGCCCCATAGGAATCGGACGCTCGCAGCGGTGCGTCGAGTTAACAAAACGCTCAAGTTCATAAATAGGGTGAAATCTGTGAGTACAAGTGCCAACGCCTCCAAGGGTGGGGTAATTAAAGCAGAGGACGCGACCACCCTCGAGGGTTACAAGAGTCTAGTCTACCCCACGAAGGGGTTGACAACAACCCTCAACCCCACGGAGCGTCCGAAGGTCGTGCGGGGGAAGAAGCCCCACGCGTCGCAGGTGACCCAGGTGGAGAACCTCCGGCTGTCCCTGGGCGATACGAGCGAGATCCACGTCGGGCATGACGTCATCAGGAGTGACGCTGAGTTTCGGCACCAGAGTGACGTCAACAAGGCGCGGGTGGTGGTGAACCGCGTCATCGCCGGCAACGACACGGCGAGCCAGTCGACGGCGAGGAACAGCGAGGTGATGTCGCCGCCGCCGAGCCACGTGGACGTGTCCAAGCATACGTCACCCATCGCCGACGTCAACGACGCCGAGCGGAGGCAGAACCGGACGGAGAAGAACTGGCCGGCGCCGCAAGGTGGCGTTGTCTCCGAGTCGGTCCACGGATCGCGCGACGACTACTACGAGTACTCAGAGTACTCTGACTTCCCGATGAAGCACTTCAATATCTCAGGTATGTGGTCCCTCTCCCTTTTATGTAGTGGCATGGTTACACGATCAAATTCCCGTCAACTTCCGATCAAAATGATGACCAAGATGGCGGTCGAGAGTTATCTAGATTGATGAGTAAAATTAACTAAAACAGTGTGTTGATTGAAATAAGCATGAAATAAGCACGGTCGTGTGGAAATGAGATGAAGAATGAGCCCCACAGCTCCATCGTCTACCATCAAATTTTTGCAGGCCGCAGAAATTTGATGGTAGATGGTGCGCACCAGTCACCATTTGATCGGAAATTGATGGAAATACGAGCGTGTAACCATAGCAAAGGATACGGTGGCAATTTCCCCAATGTAACGACAATGTGTTTCGTTTAAGCGAATTTTATATTAAGTTCCGAGCCTCTTTGAGAAATTCTGTCCTGGTTTGTCTCATCAATCACCAATACCAGTGGACACCGTTGTTACCAGATTCGACCAATCAGACCCTTTGGTTTTTGATAAATTAAACCTTCTCTAGAACCGCCGTGCGAGGTGGTACCAAAATCACACACCAACGTTGCAATTCGTTAGACACCAAATCGGAAGTTCCGAACTCAACTAGAATGGCAGCGCGGAGGTTCGGGCACAAAAGTAGTATCGGACCTCTAATTAAAATTCGCTATTTAAGAATATGTGAAACAATCGATTTGTTTATCAACGCAGGCTGCTCCGAAAAAAATCTATATTTATCATGGACTTGAAATGACGCAAAATAGCGTTACCAACTTGCGTGCGTTGCCACCGGTAGGACTAATAGTCAGATATAATGAGAGTGAAGGTGGCATGAGTTGCACAAAGCCGCTGTTTTCCCGTTTAAATCAGCGTTTGACGGTGGTACCGAAAAGGCACTTCTTTTTATTTTGGAATTTAGAATGTCTACGCTTACTCGTAGGGTCGTTGCATCACATTTTAAGTGATTTATTTTGAATGGAGAATTGGAAAGATCTGTGGCCTTTAACAAATCATGTCAGATTATTTCCGCGAGAAAATAAAATATGACTTGGAGTTTGAAAAATGAAAATATCAAGATTGTTCCAATTCCGTCATTAAAATGCCGATGAGTCCAAATATATGTACACGAAGAAAAATAATCTAAAATTGCACGCATTCATTGCATTCATTGCACGAGGAAAGGACATGTTTCTCCCGAGAAAAAAGAAGCTGAAGACGAAGAAAACTATGAAGAAGGAGAGAATTCACAAGGTTTGCAAGTTTGAGCTACTTCAGCCAGCATTAAATGCCACGCTGCACCCCTGTGGCTCAGACCACCGACCGGTCACGTTTGGAAGGGCGCAAGGAGCACTGAGCAACAAGCGCGAATGCGAATGTACAAAAGGACTCCTTTGCATATTTTCCGCGTTTGAGGAGCGAGGGAACCACGTCTTAGCGACGAGGAAGTTAGGTGATTCAATCCAGGGACCAGGGCACGGCATCCTCATTTTCTTTTCCATTTCCACCCATTTCCGTATTTACCGCCGTTTCCGCGCGCGCTTCCCTCCGATAAATCTCGCGCGCGCCCTCGCCAACCCGCGTATCGAGCATATATCACTGGGGGGTGGAAAAAATTGAAATATAACTGCGTCTTATCCGCGGAATCGTTTGAATTTTCATGAACCCCTCTTTAATGTGCGTCGTCTTGCCCTGCTCGCATCCACGGAACAATGTACGCACGCTTTGGCCCCATGCCCGTGCGTGTTTCGGATAGTGAGATATGTGCGCAGCTGCTAAATTTCATGACGTTTCACTATACTGCCGTGCTAAGGAGAAATGCCGTGGAAGCCTTTACACGGAGAAAAAAACCTCGTGCGTGGGACCCGAAGTTTAGGTCATATGGATCTCTGAGGTTTTCAGATTGAGCATCTGAACACTTTAGGTCTAGCTGTCGAGGTTCGGATCACACATCTGAAACCTCAATTCTTACATCTGAAGTACTTGAGATGTGAAGTTTTCCGGATGTGAGAACCGAAGTTGTTCGGATGTGAAAACCGAAGTACTTCAGACGTAAGAACTGAAGTTTCAGATGTGTGATCCAAATCTCAGCAGCTGGACCTTAAATGTTCGAATGCTCAATCCGAAAACTTCAGAGATCCATATGACCTAAACTTCAGGTCCCACGCACGAAGTTTTTTCTCCGTGTAGGCGTTGCCAAAATTCTTCTGGCGAATCACCAATTTTCAGGAAAATTTTTGAACATTTTTCCCGCCAATGTGGTAGATAATTTTGTTAGTAATTTGATCTATAAGTGTCTGAAAACTTAAGGAAAAATATTCATTATTTTCCTCAAAAATAAACATTTTACCCAAAGAATGTTGGCAAATCTCGAATGTTCATACAGCGTTCCTCCTTAACATGGCAGTATATCGTCACCTCCAGGCCGAAGTATCACAAGCGCCATGCGATGTTTCAAAAGCTCCGCCGCTATTTTTTATTTTTTTACAGAGAAATCGTAGGTTCAATCTATTTGAAAATTTTGCCGAATGTTATCGGCAGCAGAAAGAAAATTCAGTGAAACTTTCAGACAGCTACGTTGAACAATTTCTCTGTAAAAAAATAAAATGGCGGCAGAAATTTTGGAAAGTCGCATGGCGCTTGTGATACTTTGGAAAAAAAGGTTACGAAATAGATGGCTTCAGTGCGAAACCACGGATCTCCATTGCGATATTTTCAAACGCCCATTCCAATTTTATTTTTTCGAAGAGAAACAAGGCAGCTATATAGCTTACATTTTGTACAAAATTCTACTAATAGAGAAGAAAAATCAAGGAGGTGTTCAAGAAATTGCGTTAATTAAAGTTCCAAGGAATAAATAAAGTACTAAGTACAAAAAATAAAGTTTGACTGGAAGCTTGCAACGTTGCAAACGGATCTCCGTGGCTTCGCACTTTGACCATCGATATGAAAGATCCTCCTAAAAATCTCCAATCTCCTCTTCTTGGAGAAAGAGAATAGCGAAGAGGAGGATGGGACAGGGCCGGATTAAGGGGGTGGCTACATGGGCCATGGCCCATGGCGGCATATCCATTGGGGGCGGCAAATTTTGCAATTTTTTTAAATGTAGGTATAAAAAAAATTACAAACGAGAAAAGGCGGTTATGGAGAAACTCTTTAATTTTCGGAGAGTATAGTAAATTTTACTTTTGCCGTCTTTCAGTGATACAAGAGGCAGCACCTTTAATTAGTCGAGTTAAGAGAGAAACCAAACATGCAATTTGGCCTGGAAACGGCCAGACTCACCTAGAGAGAAATGATGACGAGGACTTGAGATGAAAAGGAGAAGCCCTCGGCATGGCGCGATCGGCATGTAACACATATTAGCGCCTACAAGACTGCACGAATACTTCACGCATTGCATCAAACACAGTGCGGTCATTGCGGACAGCGTGAAACGGATAACGCCTACAAGAATGCATGAATACCTCACGCATTGCGGCAAACACAGTGCGATCAGCGTGAGATGCATAGCGCCTACAAGACTGCGTGAATACTTTACGCATTGCGTCAGAGTGCGGTCAGCGAGGCGCGGCGGCGGAAGTTAAAATCATTAATTCACATTTATGTTTGTTCTTTCATAATTTCTTTGTTCATTTCTTATGAATGGAAGGCCTTGTCAGCACAGAGATAGGTTTACGAAACTTAATTTTGAACTTTTGCTAGTAGTGTTGACAGGGCTTTCCCAAAAAATGTTGTCAACACCAGTAAACGTGTCTTTTGCACCCCTCCCCCGCTGGCACGTTCATTTGATGGTTTTCATTGATGTTTCAAAACGAATGAGAAGGGGGCGGAAAAATACTAGCGGCCCATGGGCGGCAAGTAGGTAAATCCGACCCTGGGAGGGGAAGAAGAAAAATAAGAATAAGAAACGAGGTTGTATCTCTATTCTAAGTTCTTTTTGAGAGTGAAGATTTGAACACACAATTTTGACGAAAAATTGGAAAAATTATACCCTTATTGTCATTGATTACGCACAAATTCCTACAATTTAAGAAGAGTCTTATAATTAGATCACCAAAGCTTATTGTACCGCATTGCTTTCGTCTAACCACTTTTTTCATGCCCAAGCAACATTGAAACGTCATATGTATAAACGTCAGTTCTTAATGTTAGTCGGCATACTTTTAATTTGAATTATATAAATTTACATGAAACAAATTACTAATTTAAAGAAGTGTATGTTACTTCACTCTTCTTTTCCTCGTGAACTGCCAGTAATAATGGACAATAGCGCTATATGGACGTATTTCTATCAAACGGAACTATGTGCATTAAGACATGAGCCCTGAGACCCATAAGAATATGTGCATATCAGGGCTCACGTCATTATGCACATAGTTCCGTTTGATAGAAATAGTCCATATGTCATTAACATGAACGCAACAATCACAATCGATTATTTAAAACTTAGTGCTCTTGGCCGGCTCAACTTGAAAGCGAATGAAAGATTCAAAGAACCACATATTGAACCATTCGGAAATAATTATGAGGCGTTAATGTGGACACGGGCCGAATTTGCTGCAGCCAATTTGAAGCGAGCGTCGGAACTATAGCACGCGCACGGAGCGCGGTAAAGTTACATTATTGCAGATCAATACGCGAATCTCTGCCGTTTTCTCCGAACATGTAGTATTTAAGCTTTCGTTAATTGCTGTTCCGGACTTAATCGAGCAAAGGGGAGTAATTGAAAACGCTCCATAATTCCTCAGCTGTAAACGTAATCGACGCACCAGCGGAATATTGACGGCTCGCCCTCGCAATATTCCTTGATTACAATTTCCTCGTATGTAATAGGATTTATTAGGGGTTCAAAGTACCCCTATTTTCCTCTCCGATCTCCCTCTTTTAGGCGAACTGAGGTTGGGCTTCACCGGTATCATGGGTGGAGCTGGCGTCACGTTGGCTATGCCTTTTTCGTCGAATTGACTCGCATTAAACGTTTCTCTAATGGAGCATTAGGCAGGGGTAAGGAGTCGGAATG